TGTTGGGTGACGTGACGTTGTTGGGTGACGTGACGTTGTTGGGTGACTTGACCTCGTACCTTTACTAACCCCATTGAAATGAGTGTTTTATCCAGTCAGGTAATTGCGTTTTTAATAAAACTCATCAGTGCCTTTGCTCAGTGGTGGAGCAGAAGAAGGGGCTCTTTCTGTCGGTCAGTAGCTGTTACTTCCCGGAATTCCGAGTTGTCCCTGTGTTGCAGGTGATCAGGGAGGCCGTGATGGACAGCATCGAGTACCGGAAGGAGAACCCGTCGCGCTGCTCCGTGTCCCTGAGCAGTGTGGAGGCCAGGAGGTTCTTCAACAAGAGCCACCTCAACAACAACCACACGTAGAGGCCGTGCCCGGGTCCTGCTCCTGCCCCTAGAGCTGGAGTCACAACCGCTCCAGCAGCTCCTCACCCACTCCTCAACACGTTTTCTTGGGACTTCTCAAGTTTCAATATAATTTTGTACTGCTATTTTTTAAAACTAAACACATTTCAGTATGCTGAGATCCTGATTTTAACAGCTGTGCAATTAGGGGTTTTCTTGAGATCATCAGGTTCAGGGTCTTTTTTATTTTTTCCCCCCTTATAAAATTGTAAACACTGGTTTCTTTTGGGGGGTAATTGATTTTTAATTGATGTAAACTGGGCGTAGCTTGAAAGGTAAGATGGGATTAGAAAAAAATAAGATTGAAATCCACCTTTCTGCTGTTTAACAATGTCTGTACCACTTAGCAAAACCCCAAACCTCTTACATCATCTTTTTTGATCCTCCAAATTACATTGCTTGAATCCTTGACCTACTGGCACCTGTGTTAAATTATTGTTAGTTTGTGTATTTCTGACCAAAATGTTTATACATAACTTGACAGTGCTTTTTGACAGTGATTTTTGCATTTGACCATGATTGAACCATCACATTTCTGCAAAGGGACAGTGGGAATGTTTACTGGGGGTGGACAAAATGTGCCCAGGTAAGAATGTGAAGTAGTTCATGTCTTAAGGGTTATTTGAAATAATGTTTTTGAATCCTGTAAATAATGAAAGATGGTGCAGAGCCACAGATTATTTCAGTCCCATCTCAGCAAGTGTTGAGGTAACTCTGCAAATGCACAGAAAATGCAGTGGCATCTCCAAAGACTTTAATTGCTAAAATATGTAAGTCCATGGGAAGGGAAGTAATTAAAATGCATTTATTTTAGCAGCCACTGCATCCTAGAATCCCGGAATGGTTTGGGTTGGATGACCTTAAAGCTCACATTGTTCCACCCCTTGCCATGGGCAGGGACACCTCCACTGTGCCAGGTTGCTCTAAGTCTACATGCAATGTTGTGTAATTAAATAACATTTTCTGCATTGATCAATAGGTTTTATTTCTGTTTGTATTAGTGCATGTTTAAAATCAAGCAAGAAAATGAAAGTAACTTATCTTAGTGCTGCATAATTTAAACATTTTCCATGAATTTTGGAATACAGGAAGGAACTGGTACCATTATATGATTGTAATATTTTCTTTTTAATGTTATATTTCCCTTTGGGAATGTAATATTTGTATTTTTTATTTTATAATATGTACCTACTCTATTTTATGGAAGAGTTTTATCATGCTTTATACAGTTTGTATTATCACAGTGTTATCAGACGATAACAAATAAAACTATATTTGCCACCTGCTGTTTTCAGCCAGTTTATTTTGATAATTTCTGTGATATTTGCACTGTTATTGTGAAGAGACGTGGAACAGCTGGATGGTGTGGGGCAGACTGACACTCCGGGTAATGGGTGGTGGGTCTTTGCTGCCTTTAATCTTGGATTTCTTAAAAAGCAGGGGAAGAAGGGAAGTTCCTCCAGGCCTGTTTGGATCCACCAGCTGATTCTGGTCGCTGAAAAGCAGGAGCAGGTGCTGCTGTGGGTTGCAGGTACATCAAAACTCGTGGTCTGGACTGTCTGTGGAGGGGTGACAGTGTCCCCACGTGCGCTGAACTCTTGACCTGCCACCACTGGGACCCTGTGGGGTTGTTGGTGTGGGGGTTCCCCCTTTGTCTGTCTGCCAGAGCCCCCCTTCCTCTGCTAAAATCATTCAAAACCCCTCATTCTGAGGTTTTGCCCAGAGAAGCTGTGGCTGCCTCATCCCTGGAAGTGTCCAAGGCCATGTTGGATGGGACTTGGAGCAACCTGGGCTAGTGGAAGGTGTCCCTGCCCAGGGCAGGGGGTGGCACTGGATGGACTTTAAGGTGGTTTGGGCACCCCAGAAGCTCCTTTGTAAATTAATAGCTGTGATTTCACGGCAGTCTGCAAAAAAAAGCCTCTGTTAAATCTGCATCCATAAATTTCAAATGGAAAAAATCCATCTCTGTATGATCAGAAACTTAGAAAAGGGTTCTTATTTTGTTCTTCAACAGAGCAGAACACTGGGCCTTACAACCTTAGCCATATTTTATATTAAAAATAATGTGAAAAGAGAGGAATAATGCAGGAAAAAACCTCTTCTGACACATGATGTGAAGCCAAACACAGAGAGGTTTCCCTTGGCCTAGAAAGTTAGTCCTTCATTTCTCATTTCCCTCCCTTCAGTCCCTGGTTCATCTGGTTTATTCCTGCAGTACTTTTTTCCAACCAAGGGTACATTCCCTAGGAGGCAGTAAAAGGTGGGTTTAGAGAATGAATTATTTTGGATGTCAGACCTGACTTTAGGTGCAGAATGTGGAAGGTGCTTTCTGCCTGAAGGATGTGGAAGCGCCACCATGCAGGCCTGGAGTGACTGGGAAGGGCTCAACGGGGTAGGTAAGCTCAGCTCTGCTGGGCTCTGTCTCACACTAAGCTTGGCCCTGGGCTCATGTTCTTTCCCTGGACCTTTTGGCAGGCTCCACCTGCAGGGATAGACATTGGGAATCTCTGCTTGCCTTTTTCTTCACCAGCAGATGCTCAGAATAAAATCCCCTTGACCTGACAAGCGTGAGGGCACCAGAGCATTGACCTCGTGCTTGCAGCAGTGAGAAGAAAATTCCTTTTGCCAGGGGATGGTTCCACAGCCAGTGCTCTTCCTCATTGCCCTGGGCATGTGTTGTCTGTGGGATGAAACTTAACCAGTCGGTTCCTACTTCTCTGTGGATGCTGATTTATTTTTTTGCTGGAATAAGCAGGGATTTCAAAGGGTGAAACCATTCCAAGGCAATATTAGAGAGCAGTTTGTGGAAGGGCTCCCAGTGTGTGTCATTTCAGTTATCATTGATCAGGAACAATTCCTGTCCCAGAAGGACTGTGAATTTCATAATGTCTCCAGATTATTTTATTTAGTCTTAAAAGATAAGCACGAAGAACTTAGATGCAATGTGCCATAAAACTCAGTTTTTCCACAGCTTCCTGTTCATTCTCCTTGTTTAGCAACCACAAAAGGATATTCCTCCCCCACTCCTTTTGTTGGGGTCTTTACTTCACATTTGGGATGGAAAGACAATAGTTCCACAGCATCTCCCAGGTGTCTTCTTGGACACTTGGACTGTAAACTGGTTTACAAGTTTTGGTTGAACTTTATACTTACCCCAAAAATATAATTTAAAAAATGAAAAAATTTCTTTCTATATGTTGTAAAGACTCCTCTAATACATGAAAGAAGCACTTGTATTTACATAATTTGTGTTTCCTGAAGCTGTAAATCCCCTCCCATCACTCTTACTGCTGAGGCACTCACTGGGGCAGGTTTGGGTAGGGATGTGACTCATCCCATTAAGTTCCATCCACCAGCCCTTCTCACGAGAGGTGAAAAGGAGAGGCTGTCAGGAATTCCCCATGGCAACACAAACATGACACTGTTGTGTGTGTGAAGGGCAGGCACTGGGGCAAGGAAAGGAAGGGGGAATCCTTAACCTTTAGACAAACCAAAACCCACAAGACTGGATGCAATAGGAACAGGAATTCCTTATGTGGCCATTTAAGCCCCACAAACTTGGCTCAAGCAGAAATTTGGCAGCACAGGCCAAGCTGAAAGACTCCTGGTCTCTAGGTTTTATGGGGAAATGTTTGGGAATAGAAGTGCCAAAGCAGGCAGCCACGAGCTGGGGGGGATCCTGGTGTGAGAGGATAGACCTGGATCTCAGGGATGGCACAAATACAGCTGGGTCCCAGAATGGGTGGGGGCAAATGAGGGGCTCTAAGGGGAACCCCACTGTGATGAGGCCGCTGGGTGGGAGGGGTGTCTGATGTCTGCACAGTGGGGGACCATTCAGCAATGCTTGGGACTTCTCCATGGTTCCATCTTCACCTGGAGTCAGCAGCCCCATTCCTGAGGCCATCCCAAGACCTGCCAGAAAAACCTCAGTGAATTTAACACAACCCAACTTTATACTTTTGCCTTTAATCATAAAAATGCTCTCCCAGTGCATCCTCCTTGAAGGCTGTGGCCAAACTTGTCACAGAAACCTGAGGACTATGAGGTAATTTTGGCTTTTGGGTTTCCCTCAAATTCTCATCCAGATGTGTATTTTTAGCCAAGTTAAAAGTGAGCAGGGAAGAAATAGGCAACTCTGATCTTATTTTGGGTGTGAAACTGTAACTTCTACCACTGCAGAACAAACTCCATACTGAGACTGCATCTCGCAGACCTGGAAGTGTCCAAGGCCAGGTTGGACAGGGCTTGGAGCAACCTGGGCTAGTGGAAGGTGTCCCTGCCCGTGGAATGGGGTGATCTTTAGGATTCCTTCCAACCCAAACCATTCCATGTTTCTATGATTCTACAGTGATACAGTTTGTTGTCATTTTGTAATTCTGCTTTATTTCTGTTCCCCATCAGTTTTGTTTTTGATGGAATGGTGAGGATGGGTGGCTGGGCCAGCACTGAGTGCAGGGGATGGGGCTTGTGTAAGTCAGGTCGGGAAGTGCTGAAGACGAGGAGGAGGCACCTTCTGCATCCCACTTGTGCTTAACACATTCCAGACGTTTAGTTCAGGGCGTGTGCTGGAAAACACAAACCGGAATTAACGTGACGACTCTAAAAGAAAGCAGGGGGAGTGTTTTGCCAGCGTGTTTGGGAAGCAGAAACACTGATGCTTTGCAGCTGTGGATTTAATGCCATTCCTTCTGGTCCGGTTTCATTAAACCCCAGGGATTTGCTCCGGGACATTTTTGTGTGACGGTCAGACCCTGTTTATCTAATCCTGACAGACACAGACGTCTGAGCCGGCGGGTGTGGATGTGAAGGTCCCTCTGCCCATCCATAGCCCTGGGGCTCTCCCTGTTGGCTGTGAACTGTTACTTGATTGTGTGGTGGGATGAGGGATGTGGCAGGAGCAGAGGCTGAAAGGAGGGAGGTTTGAACCCAAAATGGGACCTGTGCTCTGGGCAGTCCCCAAAGCTTGTTTCTGATGTCCCACCCTGCTGCTCACAGCTGAGGGTTGAGGCTGGGAAGGATCAGCCCCCGGCAGCCTGTGCAGTGTGAGCACATTCCCCTCGGTCCAATAAAGCTGGTGGAAAACACCAGTTAAGTAGTTTTGCCTCCAGTAACCTCTCCCTGTTTTGAACTGATACTTTTTTGTCCTTGCCGAAGCTCCTCTTGCAAAAATAGTGGTGGC